AATCGCGTTGATTTTTGGCAATTTTTTTTCACGCAAGTTCTTCCATACAAAGTAATTCGACAATTATTTTTTGTATGGAGAAAATGAGCAACACTTTCCACTAAAAAATAGCTTTGCATATATTGCGAAAAATTCACTGTGCCAATACTTTTGTTCGGCACTGTATGTTATATGTTCATATGTCTTATTAACACACCTTTAAATTAATAAAAATGCTATTAATATGCATCAACTGTACGACAATTTAAATACGCATTATCTACTCTAAAGCTGTGATTAACAATTGTCTTGGTACTTATTATTGCACGATTAAAGCGTTAATTGAGTGGGTCGAACGCAGCCGTTTATAGCCAGCTGAATGAAGTTGAATGATGTGCAAGATTAAATATAAACGATTGTGAACTACGGGTCTGGCGCTGCCTTGTACTGCCGATACTCCCACGCGCGCAAAACGGATTAATGCAGCAACGACAAAATGCTGTGTAATCGTCATATTGCCATGTTAAGTCAATGAAAAGTGATTTCAATATTAATTTATGTTTAGCATTTTGTTAAGAAAGGAAATTAATGTTATTCGCATACATACATGTACTTCGTAAATAGAAAGAAATTGTGGAGGTAAAAATAGCTCACTCAATTATTGCCAAAAAAGTGTTTATAATTGCTTTCTAAGAAAAATTAGCAAGCTGAAATTTTATTGAAGTCATAAGTGGATATGTACGTACACAAAAGTTGCTATTGCGCGTCTAATGTTTATATAAAATCAACAACTTAAATAATTGCCAAGTCATTCCAAAGTACTATATATAATTCTGCTGTACACATCAATTAAAAGTGCAGAAAGAAAAGCAAATGGATAACCAGTTATAAAGCATTTATTATAAAAAATTGCAAAGTCGCGATGGGCAAACCAATAATTGGAAGTAAAAGACAAAGAGAGAACTTCACTGCTCAGAAATGCTAAGAAAGCATTAATAGACAGAAAAAAAAATTTAAACAAAACGACATAAATGTCCAGGAGTGAGACGAGTTCATCGCTTCGGCTCTAATGTGGCATACAATTGAGGCGAACATAACGCACTTCCAATAGTATAGAGAACTAATTCAAAATTTAAATTTTTGCAGATTTCATCAGCCAATTTATAAGCTTGTTAAAAAGGATATGTTAAGTCTAGGTTAGGTTAAGTTGTCACGATTGTCTATAAGACATGCTTAGACTCAAGACACAGTGTGATGCCGTATGTGGCATCAGCCACTCCCAATCCTCCTAAAACAATTTTGAATTTCGCGTGAATTTTGTAAGATCCCTGCTTTCCACGCATCTAAGCAACTCCAAGTTATCGAAGAATTGTCTTCTCAGAGTAGAGAACTGGCACAATAGATGCACAATCGTTTCCTCCTCCTCTTCATCTTAACAACTTCTACACAAGCCATGTTATCTTACGCCTAGTCGATAGGCATTCTTGCCAATTAGGCAGTGTCCTGTTATATAACGGGTGATTTTTTAAGAGCTTGATACCTTTTTTTTTAAAAAAA